GGTGCCCGGGCGTTGGCTCAGCCCCTGGGAAATGCTTCCCAAAGGGTGGAGAAGGAGAGGGCAGCATCCTCTTGTCCCCAGGGTGGGGAGCATGGCAGCCAGCGAGCCCCTAACACAGCCCAGGGGCTATGCCACCTTCACTGGTGTCTCAGCATGTGTTGGTTCTCAGCCTGGCTATAAAACCACCCATCCTTTGGCTGGGCAGAAGAACAGCCTGATCCAGCCGTTCCCATGTGTTGCCAGGCCAGAAAAGCTCGTTAGTGTCTTTCTTGTTAAGTAAAAATTGCTGGGGCCGTTGGCTTTGGAGGGCAGAAGGACCGAGAAGGTACTCAGCGTGCCTGGCCTGTGGAAGGAGGCTGGATGGGACTTGTTCTGCAGGTTGTGTTGGGAGATGAAAGGGGAGAAGAATGTATTTCAAAGCTATCAGAATGCAATGTTATCCTACACAAGGTGTGGTTAACCCATGGTACCCATGGCTGCAGGATTTCCACAGGGAGAGAGCCAGAGCTTCCCTCTGCCAGGTTTGTAGTGTTTCTGAAGCCCTGGGCTTGGTGATGGGGGTGGGATCCCAGGGAGAATCCCATCCCCTAGGCTGCAGGGCCAGCATTTGCCTCCCTGTCTGGCATGGGAAGGGTCTTTTCCATGAGACAAGGTCTGGTCTGGCTGGGACCTGCAGGGACAGCGGTGAGGGGATGAATCTTGCTCCGAAGGCATCCTAGCTCAGATCCAGTCTGCCCTGAACTCAGCCAGCAAAATTATTCTCTAAAAAGGCAACAGTAGTAAGTCAGGAAGTTGTTGGTGTCCCTGGGGTGTGAACCGAGCTGTCCTGGCCCTGGGTGGGGGTGAGCTCCAGGGGTGCTATGCTGGGTCCCCGCTGACACAGGGTTGAGCCGAGCCCTCCCAGCGCCCAGCTGGGAGTCAGTACACCCACAGCCCAACTCTGGGGCCAGAGGACTGGCCGTGGCCACCCTCGTCCCTGTGTGGGAGAGCAAGGATGCTCTGGGCACCTCTGCCAGCACCTTTCCTTGCCTGTGTGCCATGAAGGTGCTCAGAACTCAAAGCAAAGTTGGTGTGAGGTACCCGGACAGCATGCCTGGCTCTGTGTGGGTGGGTGGTCAAAGGGCCAGGGGAATGTGTAGACAGCAACAGGCTTGGAGAATAGAAAAGGCTGATCCTGAGTGTCCTCTTGGGCTGGCAAAATGCAGAAAAGTGCCTTCTGTCAATGCAGAAAACAGTTTGAGCGTGACTTGGTTGGGGTTTGCTTGCTGCAGTGGGACAGGAGGGATTTACACTCCACCCACCGCCTCAGGGGCCTCTCCCCATCCAACACAAAAATAGGCTGATCTTTCCAAAAGATGGGGCGGGCGGGCTGGAAAATGCCATTCCTGCAGGGACCTGCCGTGCTTTGCCCCAGGAGGAGATGTGTCACTTGACTGTGGCTTTCTGCAGGCCTGGGCAGGGACACAGGCAAGGGCCCGGCGTCGTCCTGTGCTGCCATTGGGGAGCCACAGCCTCTGCACGTGCCCCTGTGCGTGTGCCTGGCAGGAGTGTTCCCTCCTCCTGCTGTATCCTGAAGCTCAAGGAGACAGATCATGTTTTTCCTTCCCAAAGGGCATCTGAAGCAGAAATCTCCTGCAGGGCACGGGCTGCAGCCCCATCCACATGCTCCTGTGGAGCTGGTCAGAGGCTGGAGGCTCTGCCAGCACCTGGAAGCTGCCGTCCCATTGCCCCTGGTTCTCTGCTCCAGCATGGGCAGAACTAGGTCCCCATCAGTAGATCCAGTCCCGGAGATGCCAGGTGGGTGTCAGTGGAACAGGCCCTCCCAATGCCACGGTGGTGTGATGGAGGAGCTAGGTCCTCCATCCTCAGCAGCACTGGGCAGCCAGCAGCCAGGGGCTGGTGGGGAGGCTTCTGGCAGGGTGTCTGGCTGGAAAAACAGCTCCTCTGCTGTCCCATCGCTGCTTCTGGGAGACTCCCATCCCTGGACATTGGCGGTGCCCATGGGCAGCCCTTTCTCAGGGTTATGGAGATGTTCCTGGTGGCTTGGTCCTGCTGCTTGTCCGGGCTCCACTCACCCACGGGGACTGGCCCATGTCCAGCTCCCGCCTGGCATTTCCCTTGTTGACGTGTTTCAGGCCCTACATGGCCAGGCCCTGGCTCCCACTGAGCCGCATATCTGCCTGTCCCCATCGATGCTCCCCATGGCACCTCCTTCATCACCGGGGCTGGCAGGATGCTCCATGCAGCTTCTCAAGGGCTCCAGCACCACCTAATCCCCTGGGAGGGTTTGGGGGACTCCGGGCTCCCCCCTCTCCATCCTCCCCCAGCCACTTCAGCTGCCCCGAGTCACGCCACGCCGGTGCCGGCGGAGCGGCCGAGCCCACGCGCGCGGCTGGCGGGCACGGAGTGAGGAGGGGGAGAGGGGCCACGTCCCGGTGAGCGCTTTCAGGCAGGGTAATCCGGTGTTATTTGTAACACTAGTAGGGAGCTATTTTTAGCGAGAGGCAAATTTGATTTAATAGTACATAATTTGCCGCTGACAATTCAGAGGGCAGCCAAACGAGGAGCAGCTGGATTCCTAAGGAGGCTTTTTCCTGCCCTTCCTGAAATCCAAGGCTGACTTGCCAGAAGTGGCATTTGTTATTCCAGCTTTTGCTGGGGGAAAGCCCCTTGGGATAGCCCAATTAGCTCCGCTTGGTGCCGCCCCATCACCCGTCGTTAAAAGAAGGAAGGGATATTTTTGCTGCCGTCTGTTATGGGAGGGCTCAGTGCTCCCGAGCTCCTTCAGGCAGCTGGAGCCAGCCATGTCCCCCCCGCTTTGCCTTTCCTTCTAACTAGCTCTGTGCTCTCAGCCTCTCCTTGGATAAATTTAGAATGAAAAATAGGTTCTGATCAAACCAAACAGCTCATTTGCCAGGAAACATGAAGTCTGCGTGCACTTTTGGGGGTTTCTTATGGATTGAGTTCTTCTGGGCCAGCCTTGGAGATACTTTGGGACAAACTGATCAACCAGGAAAGGAGCAAACACCATGTTCTTGCTTGTGCTTTTCCCGAGATGAAGATTCCCACAAAACTGATGGCAGTGTGGAAAGACATGAGGTAGTTCTTTCCTAGCCCTACCACCATTGCATCCAGCCTGTCCCCAGTTGGTGGCATGGGGACAAAGAGCTGCCAGGATAAGCTGGGATAGCCATAGGCTGGAGGTGAGTTGCTGTGAGGCCACAGAGCCCCAATGAGTGTGGGAAGGTGACATTTCCTCCAGGATTATGTGTTGTCTCCCCACAGGTGCCTCAGGGCAGAGCAGTGAGGGCACTCCTCCCTATCCTGGGACAGCCGTCCCCCCAGCACTCTGGGCAGAAGCAGCATTTTGTAGGGTCCCCAAGCTCCACAGCCCTCCAGGCAGCCTCAGAAGGAACCAAGAAGCCCCAGGCCATGGAGGGGTGGAACAAGGCTCCAGCAGCTGTGTCCTCCCAGGAGGAAAGGACTGAGCAGGACTAAGCATTGTCATGACGTTTAACTCCAGCAAATGTATGCCCAGGGTTTGGTGGCTCCTCTCCAGATGTGCAGTCACTCCCTGCAGCTGGAAAACCCCTTGGCAGCCATCCAGATGGGTGCTCAGCCCTGTACTGCTCACTCAGGGGTCACCATCCTCCCCACAGCCCTGAGGAGGATTTGTTCCCTCCTCCGCCAACACCAGGCTTTGTTCCTGGACCACGTCTTGCCTGGAGCACTTGTAGCAGCTGACTATAAAGCCAAAATAGCATTAGTAAAGAAATACTGGGGAAAGCCCTAAGAATGAGGGGTTAAGTGACTGCTGCTGGTGCATCCCCTATGCGAATGTCCCTAGGGACACCAGCTGGGATTGGTGTGGCACGTGAGACCTGACAACTCCCACAAAAGACTCACACACTTTAATCAAACACCTTTTTCTGTGAATGAAGACGTGCAGTCAGCTGGGGGGTGGGTGCTCCTTGAGCAACACCCCAAGTCCTGTGACCCCTTTCTCAGCTCATCCTTGCTCTGCTTTCTCCAGTCCATCCGGAGAGAGCTCAGGCTGGTGGAAACTGGGAGCCAACATTTGGCAGGGAAAGGACCCTAAAATGAAGATCGAATTCCTTGGAGAACAACCACCCCCTCCAAATGTTGCCCTTTGCCTGATGACCAATTTGGTTAAATGAAAAAACTAATCAGTTTTGAAACCTGAAAATGTGTGGGCTGGAGAGGGCCCCTTGGTTGGGGTTTCTCTGTGACACAGATTTTCCCCTTGTACTCAGTTTTGACTGTAGATTTTCATTTACAATGATTTTCTGACGGTCACCACCAGCTTTAGAGGTGGAGTGAGCTGGAAGTTTCATCTCTTTTGGATCCCCTGCCTCCAGGTGCTGTGTCTTCTGTAATTAATTGTGCCCTTCCTTCTGCTCCTCATGCTGGGTTCCCCTGGAAAATGCTGGGGACTGTCCCCAGGGACACCAAGCACCGGGGATGGTCACACAGCGAGGTGCCCTGACCCTTGTGCTCACCCCTCTTTCTACCAATCCCCTGCTGCAGCCCACACACTCCCCTCCCTGTTCCTTGGAGGAAGTGTCCCCCACATCTGCAGTGGGGGGCCCTTCCCAGCTGGGAAAGCACCCTGGCACCCCATTTCCAAGCTCACGCACCCCCTGCCCCACAGATCCCCCTGCTGAAGGTGGCTGTTCCCCGGGGCACTGTGGCAGGGCAGCCAGTGCAGCAGGACCCAGCCCCTGCCCGCCGTGGGCAAGGCACTGCTGACCTCCTCCTCTCTTTCTGCCCCCCTACAGGGAGGAAGGTGCTGACCAGGTGCCCTGAAGCTCTGGGGTTCACTGCCCACGGGCTCAGCAGGATGATACCAGCAGTCCAAGACCTTCCCACGCTCCTCGCAGTGCCAGTGTGACCGAGTGGACGGCGGGGACCTGTGGCACTGAGCCCGGCACGACAGCACAGCAGCCAGTGGCCCTCGCCACGGGCCCTGCTGCCCAAAGATGAGCGATGGCATGTGGATCTCGCTCAGCCCCACCGAGTTTGCCCAGCTCCAGCAGTACACAGACTGTGAGTACCCTCTGCCCCTCCTGGGACAGGGAGAAGGGGTCGAAAAGTCCCGTTGATCTGTGCCAGACTGGCACCCTACGTTTTCATAGTGTCCTCCTGGAGAACTAGGTAACTCCTTAGATCTTGGATGGGGAGGCTGGGAAGGTCCCTGACCCCCAACACTGGCTGGTGGGGATCCCTGTGCCTGCATGCCTGGGAGGATTTAGCTGAGCTCTGGGGGCTGGACACGTGAGCACGGCTCAGTCCCTCTGAAGGCGTTGGGCTCCCACGTTCGTTAGCAAAGTGAAATGCCAACCAGGAAAGCAGACTGGCTTTTCCCAAACACACGGAGCTGCTCCACAGCTTGCCTTGGGTTGCCAGCCCTCTGTGGTAATTTTCCTTAGTGCTTTTGAAGAGCAACCTTCTGCAGCTCCTGCCGAGGGATGGAGGTTGGTGGCACTGCCGGAGGGTTCTGGGGCTGGGAGCAGCTGGAGAGGGAGCCTGGGCAAAGCCCAGGGGTCTGAAACCAAGTCCTTGAGGTCCTGCCTGCCAAAGAGCCGGGTGTGCTCTTCACAGCAGTTGACAGAGAAGCAGCACAGCCCAGGGAGGAGCTGAGAGCAGGGCAGGATGGGCAGGAAAGCCCAGCCAGGATGACAGGATGAAGGAAGAAGGGGTGTAAAATCTCAGGAGTGTTGCTTTGCAGGATTGGCATGACCCTGGGGTGAGCAGGCTGGATGGGGGAGGACTGAGAGGCAAAGAGGACCCCGAGCACCCTCTGAGGCTGTCTTTGGGGACACTGTGTATCAAAGGGATGAGAGTGGGGGCAAGTTCTCCCCAGGCCTCTGCTCCTCATCCAGAGACCTCAGGCAGGGGCAGGTGGGGATGCAGGCAGAGGTGTGCGTGCATTATCCCTCTCTGCATCTCATCCTGCCTCTCTGGAGGATGGGCTCTGCTTTGCTGAATCCCAGACCCTAAAACACCATCTGTAACGCTGGGCTCAAAACACAGACAGCATCTTCATTTCGTTAATTGAAGTGTGGCCAGCAAGGCTGCAACATGGGTAGCTGCTTCCTCCCCAGGAGGGTGGCCTGGCACTGGGCTGGAGAGCAGGGCTGGGGGGGTCATCCCAGCCCTATGGCCAGGAAACCCCTTTTTGAACACCCTAGACATCCCAGACAGTTGTGGTCCAGTGCCGAGTTCCATCCCCAGTGGAGGGCGGGGGAGATCGGAGCCAGCACAGCCCCCACTCAGAGAGAGGATTTCACAGTAATTAACAGGGCTAGTGTGTCCAAGAACCTTTTAAATGCACGTGCCCAGACATGTGTGCGAAGGTGAAGGCTGAATGTTCCCTCCCCTTGATCTTTTTTTTTTTTCCTTCTTTTCCTGTTTTTCTCTATTTTGGAAGGACCAATGTCCCTCCAGACACTCCAGCCCTGACGACACCCAGCCAGGGAAGGTCATTACTGCTTGTATAGAAGTTAGCACAGAGCAATCCAAAGAGGAAACGACCACAGACTTCACCAGAGGAGGTTTAGATTGGACATGAGGAAAAAGTTCTTCCCTAAAAAGGGTTGTCAAGCACTGAAACAAGCATGCCTGGAGGGATTTAAAAGCCATGTAGATGTGACACCTGGGGACATGGGTTAGCAGTGGGCTTGGCACTGGTGCTGGGTTAATGCTTGGACTCTACAATCTTAGAGGGCTTTTCCAACCTAAATGATTCCATGATTCTATGGATACTGTTCTATTTCTCCCTCCTGGCACCTCCTAAGGATGCCAGTGGGCAGCCCAAGGCAGCTTCTGGGATGGCTGGGGCTGCCAAGAGGTGCCATTGTTCACCCAAAGCCCTGCACTGGGGCAGGGACATTCAGGGATGTGCTCAGCATCCCCTCCCGAGCAGCCAGGACTGGGGAGTGGTTTGGGCTTTCCTTGCTTTGCTCTGGGTTTGTGTTCATTTTCATACAGGTAAGAGGAAGCTCTCTATATATGTAAAGCTCCCAGGCCAGCTTTCCATAACTGCCCTGCCCTCTGAAGGTGGAAGGGGAAGCAGGGCATGGATGGCCCCTTCCAGGCATGGAAGGATTCAGAAATTGTATATCCAGCAGATAAACCCCTCTGCACCATCCTGCTCGTGGATGACAAAGGGTGCTCAGCGTGGCCATGCTCAGCATGGTGCCTTTGTCTCCCCAGACTCCACCAAGAAGCTCAAGGATGTCCTGGAGGAGTTCCATGGGGACGGCGTCCTCTCGAGGTACAACCCCGAACAGGTATGGCCCTGTCCTGCCAGCATTCCCCTGTGCTGCTGGCAGCTCCTGGCCCCCTGCTAGCTCCCCCAGCCTGGCTCCCATCCCTGAAAGCAGCTGGGAGAAGGCAGGGCTGGCTGGCTGTCCCCCAACTCTCCCCATGGTCGTGCTCCCAGGACTGGACTCCCTGGCCATCCTGGGGACCATGCACACCACCCCATCCCAGTGATGTTGCCATGGGTGCTGGCAGCTGGCTGCCTTGCTGAGAGCTTTTTGGGGCATTCCCTTGCCAGGCAGAATGTGGGAGAGATTTACTGTTCCCTGAAAAGCAAATTACTTTGCCGGTGTGGTGACGGGAGGGGTCTGTGCCTTCTCACTCTCCCCCGAAGAAGGCTGGGATTATTTTTTCTGAGTAGTGATTTCAGAGAGACCTCTTAGTGTGCCAGCAGGACAGAGCCTTCCACGGGGGCTGTAATCACTAGAATCGAGGCAAAATGAGGAATGTCAGTCGGCTGACCATGGTGAGGAAGGGCACAAAGCTACTCCACTGTTCCAGGGCACCACAGGACCCTCACTCCAGCTGGGTCCACAAAAGCCATTGGGAAGGCATCATCCCCACACAGTGGCAATGCTCAGTGGGGAAGGAGGAGGGGAGGAGACCTCAGGAGGATGACAGTCCCCAGGGGCTGGGGGCAGGCTGGAGGGTCCTGCTGCTCTGCCCTTCCCTGCCACTCCTTCAGCTCCTGCCCTGGCTGTTGAGCCTGATCCCAGCACCACTGGCCTGGCTGAGCCACACTGGCACTGGACATTTCTGGCCCTGCTGCCTCTGGGTCCCTTTAGGTTATATCCCACACTGGGAATTGGGAAGCCAGCAGCTTTAGGAAGGGCTGTGTAGCTGATGTGCCCGGTGAGGGGGGCCGAGGGCATGGAGCCCCACCCAGGCTGGCCGCTCTGCACCCTCCTGGTATGGCTGGGGCACCTCTATCCTCCTCCTCTGCACCCTCCTGGTGTGCCTGGGGCACCTCTATCCTCCTCCTTGGTCTCCTCCCCAGCCCATCGACTACGAGGGCTTCCGCCTCTTCATGAAGACCTACCTGGAGGCAGATGTGCCTGAGGAGCTCTGCCAACACCTCTTCACCTCCTTCAAGCGTAAGATATGCCAAGCCTCCCCCGAGACCCAGCGCCAGAGCCCCGGTGTCTCACAGCACAGCAGCCTCGGTGAGCCCACCCTGCCACCCAGCTGGGCATGCCGGGGCACCAAGGCATGGTGGGGTTGCTCCCAAACTGCTCACGGGGATGGAGGTTGGGGAGTGGCACCTGAAGTGGGTGGCATCGGGGCCGGCACACAACCCAGTTCTTCTCCATCCGATGGGTGGGCTCCCAGGGCCCTTTGCTGTTCCAGGGAGGGATTTCCCTAGGATGGGCACCCACAGGGCACCACGGCACTGGTTCCTCCCTTTCCTTTGTGCATTCAGAGCCCAGGTCAGCATCTCCATCCAGAGTGAGGTGGCCTATGCCCCTGTCACAGGTACTGGTGCAGGCAGCCACCCTGCACTCAGCAGCACCTGGAGCAGGGGTTGTGTGCCAAGCACCCAAGTCTGCCTCCCCCAGCCCTTTCCGAGTGGATTTGTGGCTCATGGAGACATCTACTGAAAGGACTATAAATTGCAAAAGGAAAAGGAGAACGTCCTCGGACATTGGACTCTGGCTGATGGTGAAGGACAACATCCTCCCTGTCTGGTCCCAAGAACCGTGGTGGACATCATCCAGGGATGGAAGCACTGCTGGGAGCCACTGGGACAGGGACAGATTGAGGGGGCCACCCATGGTGGCTCTCAGAGATCCCTGGGGCTGAGATGCTAAGACAGAGAGGCATGGGGCTAGCAGAGAGGACCCAGGGCGAGCACTCAGCACACAGTTCCTGGAGTAAGGGGCGCAGGCACCCTGGTGTCACACTGCCCCGGGCATATATCTTACTTTGCAGGGATCAATGGGAAAATGCTTCGAAGTGCCCTGGGACGACACACTCCTGAGCCCAAGAGCTGCCACAGCAACGTGGCTGAGCTGCAGCCAGTATCCCTCACCCCAGCATCGATCCCCAGTGCCTCCCCCAGCTGGTCTAGATCATCCTCCCAGAAGTCCACCACCGGCACCGCTTCTGCTCACAACTCCTCAGGCTCTTCAAGGATCTCCTCCGTGTCTCTGCTCAGCCCTCAGTCTCCAGGTGAGCTTGGCTGGGACTCCACGTGGGGGGACACAGGCAGTGACAAGCCCTCTGCAGTTTCCGTGCCCTGGCAGTGCAGCTGGTCAAGTCCCCGTCACAGTGGTGGTGACCTCCCAAGCTCTGAGTGTTCTTGTCATCTTGACACCTTTGCTTGGCAAACTTAAGCCACTGATCCCATCCCACAGAGCCCCCACCAGTCAATGCCTTAATTACCCGGCAGCATCTCGTAGGGAGGGGGAAATGGGGTGGTGAGTCATGGCTGCCCCCTGCCCGGCTCCTGCCAGCCCCCGAGGAGGCAAGCATTGGAAGGGCCCCTCTGCCAAGAGCCACCATCTGCCAAAGGCTGCTGTCGGCACGGGCAGCAGTGAGCGTGGGCTGTCCTGGCACCCCAGCAAGCTGCCTCACTGCCCACTGAGCTTCTCACTCCTTCTGGGTGGGTGCTGATCCCCGTCAGGACATGTCCCCATGGGCTCTGACTACTCATCCAGCCTGCACCTGCAGTGATTGAGGGATGGGAGTCTGTGCCCCAGGGATTGAGTGGCAGTGCCCGGCCCTGCTCCAGCAATGACACCCAGCCCCGGGCCCCCTTTGTGCTCCCAACCCTACTCCAGCAGTGTCACCCAGCCCCACATCCTCTCTGTGTTCCAGCTCTTATCCCGTGATGGGCCCCAGCCCCACACCCCCTTTGTGTCCCCAGCCCTTCCCCTGTGGTGCCACTCGGCCCCATGACGAATGGGTCCCTGCCTGCAGAGCCTCCGTGGCCCACCTGGGGATGACTTTGGGCCCAGTGCCATTCCTGCGTGTGGCCTCTCTTCCTGCCCACAGGCACGAGGAGCGTGGAGAAGAGGTTACCCTTCAGCCTGCGGAAGAGCCCCAGCTCCCTGAAAGCCCCCCCTGCTCCACCCCCCACCGCCCTGGCCCAGGTGGTCCACCTGAAGGACATCGTCTGCTACCTGTCGCTGCTGGAGAGGGGACGAGCAGAGGACAAGCTGGAGTGTAAGTGGGACCCTGTGGTTGTGCCGTGTGGAGGGGGTCACCTGAGGGGGGTTTGCCCAAGGAAGGGTGCAGAGCTGGATGTTCCTGCCCATTTGGGAAAACCACTCAGCATCCCCCTCTGCTCCTGGGTGCGTTACCCATGGCTGGCAGAGGGGCTTTACTCTGATACCCCCCAGCCCCAGGGTCACATCTCACCCCAGCTGAGCTGGCACAGCATTGCTCCCACCTCAGAGCCCCAGCAGCATGGAGCTGGGTGCCTGGGGTGCCCCGGGGTGCTCCAGGACTGGGCTCTATCAGCAGCTTCTCTCCTCCCTCCAGTTATGTTTCGCCTCTACGATACTGATGGAAACGGCCTCCTGGACAGCTCGGTGAGCCTTGATGAGAGACAAAGAGGGGGCTCCTCGGGGGGCTGGAAGCAGGTAGGGCACTACCGAGGTGCCCACTCCCAAGATGAGGTGCTCTGAGCTGGGCAGCAGTATGGGAAAGGAGGAGGAAGGCAGCAGCTGGACCACAGGGCTGGGAGACGCATGCCAGCTCCACTGCATCCAGAAGCAGCAAGAAAAAATCCACCCAGCCAGGAATTGTAGCTCTGCATCAGGTCATGGTATTTCAGAAGAGAAAAAATGCACTGCTCCTCCCTCGGGATGTTTTCTCTTTGTTCTTTGGGTATCGCCCTTGAAACCTGTTGGAAAAAAAATCTGGTTTGTCAGAATAGTTTTTCCCAGGGAAAACCTACTGCAGATTTTCTTGCATGTTTTCAGGGCAGAAGACCACTCCCAGCACCCACTGAGGACTGGGGTGTCGCTGCCCCTCCTGTGCGGGTGGGGACTGGGGTGGCCTTGGGCATATGGAAACATAAACCTGATACATCCCCAGTTTGGGGGCTTGGGGCTGGACACTGCTCATGCCTGAAGCCTCTCCTAAGCATCGGGCACCACTGTCTCTCTGTGCTCAGGAGCTGGATCGTATCATCAACCAGATGGTGCACGTGGCTGAGTACCTGGAGTGGGACTCCACTGAGCTCAAGCCTGTGAGTGCTGGGGCTGGGGGCAGCTGGGGCAGATGTGGGGATCCACAGCCAGAGTTGTGGCTGGAATCACCGTATCTCTACATTTTTTTCCTCCTCCAGATCTTGAAGGCGATGATGGAGGAGATAGATTATGATCATGATGGGACTGTGACGCTGGAGGAATGGATCCGGGGTGGCATGACCACCATCCCCTTGCTGGTCCTCCTGGGGATGGAGACGGTGAGTGCCCCCACAGGGACCTGCTTTGGCTGCATCCAGCCTGCCTCCAGCAACAGACTATGCACTCATACACCACCACACAGCCCTACACTGGCCCCCAACCCTTTTGACACCCCCACTCTGCCCCCTTTACCCCCAGATCTTCCCAAGCTCAGTTCTGAGCTGTAGTCACTGCCAGCTGCCATGCCCAAGAAGGCTGGGCTCACTCCTTGCTATTGCAGCATAATCCAGTTAGATGAATATTTAATCAAAAATTAAGGTGAGCACCTAAAATGGTAACTCCTCTTATGGGGTGAGCTTCAAAGAGCAGAGATGGGGCAGTTGGAACCCCCCTTATTTCTCTGTGGTGTTTTTTCGTCCTTTTGGCCTTAATTTCTTTCAGGTGCATCCCTGGCCATTGGATAATAGTTTGCAGGGAAAAATCTGTGGTTTTGCTCATGGTGCCCATGCTTCCCATGGAGAGGTGGGGGTGGGGGGCAGGCTTTCTGGCAGGAAAATTCAAGAAAGCAAGGAATTTTAACTGGCTCCTGCAAAGCACTCTTGCCTGGCCCCAGCTGTAAGAGGCTTGTGCTTTTGTCACCCTGTGGTGATGGCCTGGTCCCAGATGTGGAGTCACCTTCCTGTCAGCCACCAAGATCCTCCCTGTGGCTGGGCTGTGCCAAGGGGCCGTGGGAGCTGGAGCTTGGTGCCTGGAGCTGGACATGCCCAGAGCCTGCATGCTTGGAGAAACACCAGGGAGAAGGGGAGCAGGGGGAGCCCATGATCCTGCTGGGAGCAAACTCCCACAAACACAGTGAGGGGTTTAAGGGGATGAAAAGCCGATAAAAATGGTGGGCTGAGGGCTCTGGGACCCCCAGCAGCAGGGGAGTGACCCCTCACCCTCCACTCTACTGCCCTGCAGAATGTGAAGGATGATGGGCAGCATGCCTGGAGGCTGAAGCACTTCAAGAAACCTGCCTACTGCAACTTCTGCCGCACCATGCTGCTGGGGGTCCGCAAGCAGGGCCTCTGCTGCTCCTGTGAGTCCTGGATCCTTGCCAGCATGTTACACCCCCAGGCTGGTGGCTCCCACCCCATCCAGTGCCCTGGGGAGAGGGGACTGGTCCCTGTTAGTGCTGAGCCCCGTGAGTACTGCAGGGTGAGAGGGGAGGAGACAGCTCCCATGCTGGAGAGCGATGCTCACCATCTCCTTCGTGGCACTTGGGGATATGGTTTAGTGGTAGTGTTGGGGCAACAGTTGGACTCAGTGGTCTTAGAAGGGTTTTCCAAGAATTCTTCTATGATTCTTTCTATGATTCTTCTCTCTCACCAGTCTGCAAGTATACAGTCCATGAGAGGTGTGTGTCCAAAGAGATTGCCTCCTGCATCAGTACCTACGTTAAATCCAAGAGAAACACAAGCGTGAGTAGACAGCATTTCTGAGTCAGTGGGTCTCCTGGCCCCTTGGTCTCCTGCTCTGATCCCACATGGCTTTTTTCCCTGGGATTTGCCCCTCTCATCCTGGGCAGCAGCTCATGGGCATTCCCAGCATCCAAAACCTTGCAGGATGCACCCTGTCCCCAGTCCCCAGGCACTCACAGGTCCTCAACCCCGAGTTTTGCCGTGGTTCCAGGCTGGGGAACAGGTGTCCCTGCTGTGCTGCATGGAACAGCAGGGAGGGAAGTCAGCTGTGTGGCGGGCTGGGTTGGATCAGTCAGCATCCCTGCAGGACAAGCTTCTGAAATCGTGGCAGCCGCCCTCAGCAGGAGGGAGAAGCCCGTGGGTCGGTCGTGTGCCTGCAGTGTCCCCCTGTGCCCTGCAGGTGATGCAGCACACCTGGATCGAGGGCAATTCCCCCGTCAAGTGCGACAGGTGTCACAAGAGCATCAAGTGCTACCAGGGCATCACCGGCCTGCACTGTGTCTGGTGCCAAGTCACCGTGAGTACAGGGGGCTTGGGCGCACCCACAGTGCCCCCTGCACGGTCAGCCTGGGGAGGAGAGGCTCACAGGTGGGAGATGGCAGGTGTCCCCTGCTCAGCATCCCTTCCTCCTGCCCCTCCAGCTCCACAACAAGTGTGCCTCCCACGTGAAGCCGGAGTGCGATGGGGGCCCACTGCGGGACCACATCTTGTTGCCATCCTACATCTGCCCGGTTGTCCTGGTAAGTGCCCCTCTCATCCTGGTACGTGACCCTATTGTAGTGGTAAGTGCCTCCCTTGTTCTGGTAAGTGCCCCCCTCCTTGCTGCCGGTGATAGGAACCCATCAGGGCATCACTGAGGCCAGCCTGCCTCCCCCAGGTGCTGGCACTGCCTTCTGGGGCAGTGTGGGCATCCATACCTCTGTTGCTCAAAGGACAGGCAGTCCCACTGCCGACGATCAGAGAGCGACTCCCCTGCCAGCACCACCCCCGAGGACACCCAAGGCTTCAAGTTCAACTCCACCACAGTGGATGGGCAAGGGCTGCAGGTAGGTTCCCGCACTGGGCTGCAGGTGAGCTCTGCCGCTGAGCCCGCAGCAGGCAGGAATTCACAGCTCCATTTTCTGCCCTCCAGATCAGCCCCCGGCCCGGGACACACCCACTCCTGGTGCTTGTGAACCCCAAGAGCGGAGGAAGGCAAGGGGAGCGGTAGGTGGGGTCCTGCCCAGGGAGAGCATCCCGCCTTGGGTGGGGGCTGCTGGTCCCTCACGCATCACTCCTGGTGTGGGACTCACCTCCGCAAAGCTCCTCACACCTTCCTCTTCCCAGAGTCCTTCGGAAGTTTCACTACCTGCTCAACCCACGCCAAGTGTACAACCTGGACCGCGGCGGGCCCGCGCCAGGGTACGGAGCCACTGCAGCTGATCCTCTGCCCTCTCCTGCCAGCCCCTGCTCCCCCACCTCACACCTTGTCTCTCCTGGCTTTCTCCAGGCTGAACTTCTTTCGGGACACTCCAGATTTCCGTGTGCTGGCCTGCGGAGGGGACGGCACGGTGGGTTGGATCCTGGACTGCATAGGTGAGCAAGGGACGGCTGTGTTGCTACAGAGCATCATCTGCCTGCATCCTCGGTGATCTGCCACAGATTCACAATATTCCCTGTGGGAAAGTGGGGGGGGTCCTGACAACAGCATCATCCCGGGCTGCTGGCCGAGGAGGGACATGCAGAGGAGCAGGAATAAGCCTTGTCAGCCCCAAACCTCTCTTCCCCCTTGAACTGCAGATAAGGCGAACCTGGTGAAGCACCCGCCGGTGGCTGTCCTGCCCCTGGGAACGGGCAATGACCTGGCACGGTGCCTGCGCTGGGGAGGAGGTGAGACCAGAGGAGCGCTGCCCAGGGGCTGCCCACACTGCCCAGGGGGACCCTCCAGTGTAGCTGGGTGGGTGCCATCGCAGGGCAGGGAGGACTCCTGGGCTCCTGGGATGTGGTTAGAGCTTCATCTCAGCCTGGTGCCTCCAGGCACTCCCTCCTAAAAGAGCAGCCACTGCTTTCTCAACCCCCCTGCAGCTGGGTCCTGCCCAGCTTTTTCCATCAGGAGAGCCCCACCGTTAGCCAAAATCTCTGCCACTGCTGTGAGGATGTGGCATAGCAGCAGCCCCAGGCTCCCCCAGACGCTTGACACCCAACTGTGATGTGGCTGTGCTCCCCTTCATCCTCCTTCATCCTCCTTCATCCTCCTCTTTTCCTTCCAGGCTATGAAGGAGGCAACCTGATGAAGGTCCTGAAAGACATTGAGCACAGCACGGAGGTGATGCTGGACCGCTGGCAGATAGATGTTATTCCCAGTGACAGGGAGGCCAACGGAGATCCTGTCCCATCCACCATCATCAACAACTACTTCTCCATTGGGGTGGTGAGTTCCATGAACCAAGGATGGGTCTTTCCCTCCCTGTTCCTCCTTGCTCACATTCCCAGCCTCCCTCCATCTCCTGGCCTTGTTTTTCTGGTTTTATTGTCATTTGCAATGACGACACTTAGATACGTAAGCAGGCATAGGATTTCTCTTTTCCGCTGGGAAAAATGTGAAAGGAGCTTAAATGGAGTTCAAGAGAAGTTTGGGGCCTCAGAGACGAGGACACTTCACCTGCCAAGACAGCACCCATCAGCAAAGTCCTGCTTTGGTGCTCAGACCCACGTTCCCCCATGCTTTCCTGACCCAGGGGAGTCTGGCAGCCCTGTGCCACAGGGGTTTCCCCCAGTGCTGGGGCTCAATCCTGAGAGCAGGGGGGATTTGGGAAAGCCCTGCTCTTCCCAGGGGCTTGCAGCACTTTTGTCCTGGGCCAGGGGTGCCGCCATGGTGTGGGCTACCCACTTGCAGCTCTATGGGATGCTTCTGGGTTCACATCAGCTCTTGCCAGGGGGTGTCACAGCAGGTGGCATTTGGTGACAGCTTCTGAGTTGGACCCAAACACCCCCACCCTGCCTAAGGAAAGGGTGTGATGAGCTTCAGGAGAGCTGCTGCCCTGCTAGGGGGGCTGTCAAGGTGCAGAGTGTCCCTGGAGCCCCACTGCCCCACTGGTAGCCCTCTCTCCCCCCTCAGCATCCCCTCAATGTGATGAGGGAAGGAGGCCAAGTGCACTAATTACATCTCACTTAACAAGCTTTGGGAGGAGCCTGGCTGAGGGTCCCTCCATAGCCTCGGCATGGCCACCACACCATGTCCTTGTGCCACAGAGCACAGAGCGGGGGTTTCTGTGCTGTGCCACTGATGTCTCTGTGCTCCCACTCCCCACAGGACGCCTCCATCGCCCACCGCTTCCACATCATGCGAGAAAAGCACCCTGAGAAATTCAACAGCAGGTAACAGCTTCCCAGGAGCCCCCCGGAAAGCTGGGTGTGGGGGGACACCCTGACGCGGCCATGCATCATGCCAAAGGGACTTTGTGTTTGGTCAGCCTTAGGAGACAGGCAGGGCATGCACAGGGCATGGTGGAGGTCCAGGGCAAGGCTTGGCAGAGGTTTGGGGTGCTCCTTCAAGCCCTGTGTGTTGTGTCAGGCTGCTTGAACTTGGCCACGCACCCAGTTACGTTCATTCATGCTTTATAATTAGCATGGAATTCCAGGACAGGCAGGAGCAGGCCAGGCAGTGAGGGCAGGGCAGGCAGGCAGCAGGTCACAGCTCGCTCCTGCTGTGCTTGGAGCATGTGGAAATGGGGTGATGGCAGCAGGAGCTGTGGCTTGTGATCCCCATCCCCAGGTTCAGAAATACCTGCTAGAAGAATCCTGAATGGATGAAAGTGTCTGGTTCTGCCCTGAAATTCAGCTCCCCTCAGCTTACAGCTCCTCACAGCTTACAGCCCCCCATCAAAGCCTGGCACAACAACTGATGCAGGGGACGAGCCATGGTCAGGGGCTGCCTGACATAGTGCCAGGAGGGTTCTGAGGTGTGAGACATCCCCTCCATGGGGTATCCCATCCCTGGCAGCCTTGTCAAGATATACTAACCTGTCCCATGCCAAGGGAGCACCCAGCACCCCCATCCTCCCCCTGCACAGAGTGTCTAAGCCAGGTCTGCCTGAGCCACCCCTTGTCCCATCACATAACTCCCTAGGGTCATGATGCTGGCAGTTCCTCTCCAGAATGGCTTGTGTCCCCATCCATAGCTCATGTCCCCATCCATGGCTCATGTCCCCAGCACAACAACTCCAGACAATCTCTGGCAGCTCATCTTGCTGCTAACTGGGGCAAGGCACCACTTCCAAGCAGGATGCTGACATGTCTCTGTGCCCCAGGATGAAGAACAAGCTGTGGTACTTCGAATTCGGAACATCAGAGACCTTTGCAGCCACCTGCAAGAAGCTCCACGACTATGTGGAGGTGGAGGTGGGTTTCCTGGGGTGGTCCGTGGCTCCAGCCACGGCACAAGGGCTTTTCGGGAGCTGTTGGCCATAAGTTCCTCAGGCAGGGCTTTTGACTATTTGGAGAGAGGGTGCCACCATGGCTTTGACCCCTCACGGTGGTGGGAGGACACAGTTGCTGGCAGGACCACCCATTCCACCACGCGGCACTTGCTGCAAAGCCAGCCAGCTGCAGGCAGAAGAATGGGCCTGTATTCCCCACTTCCAGCTGTATTCGAGAGCGTGCCTGGAATATTCTCTCTATAAACTTCACGCTGCTCCCAGCACTCGTTGGATGACATGGAAACAGCCTTTAATTAGAGCTGGGAGGAGGGCCCATGGTTGCTAAGAGCGCTGTCACTTCTCCGGAGGCGCTGGGGGGTTCGGCCGTAAACTTCCGTCTCTCCTTATCTCCGGATAAACCACCCTTTTATAACTCAGGCTGGAGGGTGAGGGGAGAAAAGCAGTGCTTGCTACAAGAGACTGGTGGGAATCAGAGCAGGTGGCGGGCACAGGGGTGCTGGCGGTGGGCAGAGAGTGGGCAGAGCCTGGAGAGCTGGCCCTGCAGACTTGGGGTCATGGGCAGAGCAATTTTTATGCCTGTTTCTAGACCCGGAGTTTCATCCCTTCCCAAAGCCCAAGATGGGTAGCTGCACCTGTAGAAGCTGGTGGGAAGGAGTAAGAGCAGCATCAAAACCATCTCACCCCCCTCCCCATCCATGCAGCAGGGTCCCAGGGTAGATAAAGTCTGTGTCTGTGGGGTTCGATGCTGCTGGAGATGGGCATGAGGTGCCCCCCATTCCTTGCCAGGTGCTCCCCACCGAACATCCCCACCAGCTGAGTCCACTGGCAGGAAAGTGTTAATCCCACAGTATATGAAGTTGAAAGCAGCAGCCTGTCCTCCCTCGGCTCCCAGGCAACTGTCAGCCTTGCAGAGAAATGGCAGTTTTGTTTTGGAAATTGGCACTCATTCCCTCCACGACTCCTGGAAATGAATTTGCTTTTTCCCCCAGCTGCAAATTTCTCCTTCCAGCCTCGCTGCCAGCACGCCGTCAGCTGCCCCTGCTCAAAGGGCCCATTGTAGCTCTCTGGCACGCAAACCAGGGAGGACTCCACAGGGAGAATCGCTCCTGCCCGTGGGTGTGTGGGCAGGCGTGGGCAGCTGTGGGCAGGAACAGGCTCCTGCAGCATCCCATCGTCCCGCACCCTGGGCAGCCAACTCACCCCCATCCCACCGTGGCTGGGTTGGTTCCCACTGCCTTGCAGGCAGGTGGGAAAGGTGCCTGCAGTTGGGGGTGATGCTCAGGCTGTGTTGTCCGTCCCACAAGAGATCGGAGCCCTTTCGCTTGGTACCCACTGCTCAAGCGTTGAGGTCTTTTCTCTTCCTACACATCACAATATCATTAAGATGTATTGAGAATGAAATGATTTACATCCTTTCCAAGCCCTGGAGAAATAGTTCTTCCCTCCCAGACTAGAAGATTCCTGCATTTTGCTTTCAGTGCAAGGCTAAAAATAAGATCCCGCAGCATCAGGGCAGGCAGAACAGACCTGACACACCGAGGTGTTTGCTCGTGTGAGCGTCCAGCTCTGCATATAGGGGGCTGGTGTCCTCAGCGTTGGCCAAGAGGGAGGTAAAAATAAGCTCCAAACCTTTGCTAGAGGAAAACAACTGGAGTTAGAGCAACAGCGGGGGCTTATCAGCCCGTTTCATTCCTCTTGGCACAGCAAGTGAGAGCAGAGATGCCTTTGCATCACCAAGAGGCAAGGAAAAAGCTGTGCTGGGATTTGCTGAGGTGCAGAGTGGCAGGCAGAGAGCAGATGCCTCAAGGAAAATAGGAATGCTCTAAAGAAATTCCACTTGGATGGGAAAGCAGCTGCTTCCACCAGAGGTATCTAGGAAGGGGATCTGCGTCTGGATAGTGTGAGAAGACCTGAAGTTAAGAAATGCATTTCCATGGCTGCTGCCTTCAGTCCTGTGGGAAAGCTGCAGGAAATGGATATTTTTCCTTTTACAGGGAATTTTCAGCCAGGGCAGTCCTGCTGTACGACAGCAAAACCTGGGATGCCAGTCCTGTGTGCTGTCTTGTGGTTTTCACTCCAGAACCTGACATTTTTCCCTCTGACACCTTTCCCATAATTTCCTTCCAGCCTCATTTCTAGTTTCCTAGTGTCTCTTGAAAACAAACTAGTTTGAGCTATTTTTTGGGCAGCCAAACTTTCCAGTCCTTTGGAGTCAGTTTGAACAAGGGGAGGTGGGGAATCATGTGCTGGAGCTCCTTGGGTGGAAGTCGCTTCAGGGTTGAGGTGATGTTGCCTCCTATTTTGGGTCACAGCACTGAGCCCAGCCAAGGTTTTCTGTGATCTCCCAGGAATCTGCTTTTTAAAACTGCCATTTTGGGCATGTAGTAAAATTTCTATGGAAATAGAGGGGAGAGCAGCACAAGGAGGGTGAGGTGGCGGTAGTCAGCTCTAGGAAAGCAAAGCGTGGGGGGGTATTTGCATCTCCAGCCCCAGTCACCCCGGCAGACTATCCAGTGTCACACTGTGCTCCTGTGGCGGGGAGAGGAGGCTGGGCTCCATGGGGATGGGCACCAGCCCCCCAACCCCACGTCCTGACACTGCCCACGTACCTGGCAGTGTGACGGGACCCTGCTAGACCTGA